ACAGCTGTTCACTTACTCATGCTTACAAATAACATGTACTCTCTGCCCTCAAGATGAGGTGTGTGACAGATCACCATCTGTGTGGATAGTGACTCTAGACACTAGGCATTCTGACAGTAAGCTTAGGGAGGATATTGCACTGTCCCCATGCGTTTCAGGGATAAGTAACAGGAGTTCAAAGCAAGGGATGCCATAACCATAGCTTCTCAGCACACAGGGAGGAAACATGGGTTCCTATCAGCAGCCCTGCATGCAAAGGCCAGGGCAGAGGCCCCAGAAGGCTCAGGAATCACAAACCAGCAGCACAAGCAACAAGCAGCATATACTCTGGGAAATGAAGACAAGTCTTGCTGGGCTCCTGATGGGGGACCATGAGGCTTGTGGGAGCTGAAGAGTTTCCTACGAAGTCAATTGGAATACAGGGGAGGGCACACCAGTTTCCTGCTGATTCCTGGTGCAGGATACTCTTGTATTGTTTGTACTCCACCCTGGGAATGTGTGAAGGACCTATGACCTAGCCAGTCCATTGACCAGCTGCTCTCTGCCTGGACAGCATCTATCCCAGTGCTCTGGTCACCTGTCCATCTTTGTTTGCCTGGGTTCAAAACTGACCCATTTGCCTAGCCAGGGCTGTCCAGAAGGAATACTGTGTATTCACCAGGAAGGAGCTCTATACTGGGAGCCAGCCCTGCCTTCTGAGGTTAGCTCTCATCAGCATGTGATCAACTAGGTTTTTGCAGAATAGAAAGGCTGGGCTGGGTGACTTTCACAGCACTGCAGTTCTGACTGACCAGAGGTTATCAGGCTGGGACATATCCAAGACCCCAGGAGGGCAGGAACCTCTCGCTGGGCAAGCAGGTGGGGTTGGATTCTGCACCACCAGCAAGCCTGGCTGTACTGGCTGCATGCTAGGATTACTGGGTGAATTGCCCAGCGCTGGAGCATTTAAATTAGCTGTGGAACTGGCACCCAGCTCTGCTTTACTTTTAAGTGCCCAAGGTTAGGAACCAATGTTCTAGAAAAACAGCCAGAACCTGTGTGTGTGGGTACACATTTGGTCAATGACTTATTTCTCTTAGGGACATTTATCTTGGCTCCCAGCTCAGCCTCTTGTTGGTTAGAACAGCTTCCCCCAGTTTCCCTTTCCGTGAAGCTGTTGGGAGGACACAGTGGAGCTGCCTCTCTGTGATCGCTTCCCTTTATCTTCAAAGAGAATGTGTGTGTTCAATTGAGTACAATTCAATTAGTATTAAAAAACAAAAACCAAAAACAACCCATGATGATGCCATGTATGATGGTGCATGCCTTTAATACCAGTACTTGGGAGACAGGCAGGAGGATCTCTCTGAATTTGAGGCCAGCGTGGTCTATAGAGAGAGTTCTAGGACAACTAGGACTATACTGAGAAACCCTACCTTGTTTCAAACAAAAACAAATTAACAAATAACCAACCCAACCAACTAACCAATCCCCATGATAGCAAGATCTGCCCTTAGAAATGAATCAGGCTTCATCCTCACTCCAAGGTACTCACATGCATATGGTGTGTGTGTGTGTGTGTGTGTGTGTGTGTGTGTGTGTGTAAGTTGGGGATGGGGCATGTGTCCAAAATGTGGGATGAGATGAAACAAGGTTTATAAGGAAATCATCTTGGTGCAGCCTGCTCTAGTTTATTTTAATCCAATCCCATGAGGTCACTACTATTCTAACACCCACTCCACAGAAAAAGAAGTAAGATTTAAAGAATCAGGCTTTACCAAGTGTGGTGGTGCACTCCTTTAGTCCCAGTACCCACAAGGCAGACAGATCTCTGTGAGTTCTAGGCCAGCTAGGACTTCACAGAGAGACTTTGTCTCCAAAAAGCCAAAGACTCCCTTCCCCTGAAGAAAAGACTCAGGCATTGATGAGGCTAAGAGGACCGGTTGGTAGGTTCACACCATCAGAAATACTAGGAGAAAGCTGCATGGGAGAAACAGTTCAAGAGTCTGCTTTGAAGGATGTATAGAGTTCAACCTTGAGAAAGTATTGCTAGAGATGATAACCTGCTTCCTTAGGAATCTGGAAGTGATGTCATTTGCCTTGTGGGCCAGGCTGAGAGACTTAGATTTTATAACCCAGGTAATGGGGAACTCTTGAAAATCCTTGAGCAAGGGTGGCATTTTAAGAAAAGGCTTTAGCACTGCCCACAGAATCAACTAAGCTCACAGGGGCTCACCTAGATTGATTGACAAGGCAGTCATGGAGCTTGCATGGGTTTTTGTTAGGTTCTTTGCACACATGCTGTGGCTGTTTCACTTGGGGTGTCTGTGGCACTCCTAACAGTGGGAGACAGTGGGAGTCTTTTGCTCGCTCTTGGGACCCTTTTCCTGCTATTGGGTTGCCGTGTCCAGCCTTGATCTGAGAGTTTGTGCCTAACTTATTGAATGTTCCCATGATATCGGAGGTCTGCTCTTTTCTGAAGGGAGGAAACAGATGAGCAGTGGATCTGGTGGGGGTGGGGGAGTGGGAGTCTGTGTGGGGGACATGGAGGAGTGTGGGGAGGTTGTGGCCACAATGTATTGAATAAGAGAGGAATAAATAAATAAATTAATAAAATGTTATGTGTTCAAAAAAGAAAAAAAAAAGGAAGGAAAGGCTTTAGGGTCATGATTTATGGAGGGTGGGAGCCACCATGAGTGCAATGGGAGGGGAAAGACTCAGCAAGTGGTTCATCTGGACATGGCTATGTGAAGGGAAGATATGAAATTGGGCACATGTGGGTGGGGTTCCCTGGCTACAGGAAGTGTCCTGGATGTGGGGTACTTCTGTGCACCTGTCTGTTGATTGAGCTATTTTTTTTTTCACCCAGGCTGACACAGGGCCAGGTGGGTCCACCAGGGCTAGCCAGCAACACATGCACTGCCAGCACATTTGGGTCTGGTCAGTGGGGTATGACCCACTCATGGAGGACTTGGCTGAAAGCCCATGTATTGGGTCCTATGCCAGCTTTGAGTTGGCTACCTGCCACACCCCCAAGATAAGGGTGGAAAACTGGATTGGTGGCTTGAGTCCTCCTGGCTCCAGCCTTTCAGCTGAATCATGTCACTCTGCCTGCCTCCCATTGCCAAGCTGATAGGCTGTGTACGTCAAGCCCAGTGCAAACCCTCTGGGCTGAAGCCAGTTCCTAGAAGTCAAGTCTGGTTTGGGAAACAGTACAGGACTAGGATCTTGCCACTTGCCTGCTACTGGTGATCTTGGGCATGTCTCTTAGCCACACTCTGCAGCTTAGACTGGGGCCTTAAAACCAGCCCAAATGGAGCTGACCATTCACATCTTCCAGCTCCCCCCAACAAATCTTTTGCATGTTCCCTCACACAGTTTCCCTGGGGAACAGCAAGATGGCTTAAGGTTGGATGGGACAAGCCATTGCCTATGTTTTATCCAAGGCCAGGTTAATGGTTTTATCACTTTATAGACTTGGCAGTATTGATGCCCATTTTAAAAATGACACATACATGTTCCAGAGGCTTCTACAACCGGTTCAGGATGAAACATTTGGATGTTGAGAGATCTCTCACCCAGCCCCTCTCCCTGGAGGAGGCTGTGCCACAATGCTCAAGCCCTGGAATCAAAGGGTACATAGTACCCATCCTATCCTGGTTCACTCAGAGAAGTCAGCAGAAGAAAGTCTTTGCTTTGGCCTAATGAACTGCCACCTCTTCCGGGCCTGACCCACCTCCCTGCTTGGAAGCAGGCTCTAGCTGGAATTCAGAAGCCTTGCTTTGTTTTCAGCTTGTTTTATATGAACCTTCTATTTATGGCCTGAGACACGGGCTTCCCATGTAAGGCAATGATATTAATGAGATTCTTAAAAATGTGTTTGGGGGTAGCGGGTCTTGGATTAAGGAAAACATCAGGAAGTATGTGGCCTGTGGAAACAAGAATGCCTGGTGTCCAGCCTGGTTCAAAGCGCTCACTAGCATAGCCATACCCTGGCTTTGTCCGGAACAGGCAAGTGCCAGTGCTCCATGATACTGAAGGCTAGCAGAGGTCTCCCTGTACAGTGCTCTCTGAGTTGCATCCATTAGCTAAGGTGATTCAGGGCCCCTCGTGGCTGCACGTGTACCGCCCATGTGCTCTGCAGGCCAAGAGCTCGCAAAGGAACCCGAGGTCTGGTCTGGGTTCCTGCGAACCTAGGTGGGCTTCTGAGGGTGTACGGGGTTGGTTTGCTGAGGGCCAGGCTGGGGCCCAGGTCAGGGGCGGGTTTCCACCGCGTGGATTGGCGTGAGGACGAGTGCTTGCGCAGTGTCAGCCTCCTAGGCCCGTGCTGTGCGGCCTTCCGGTCACGGTGCGCGCAGCCGAAGCCTCGGGACATCCCCCCTCGGCCCCATCCCCACGCGCCCAAGCACGCGTAGCCCCAGATCGCCGCGGCCCAAAACCGGGGCGGGGAGGGGGCGGGGCCTGGCTGAGGGACCCTCTACCGATTGGTCGTTCGTGGCGGGGGCGGGGCGCAGGAGGCCAGGCGCCCGCGTTGGGCAGGTGGGCTCAGGACGCTTAGCGCTAGAGGGGTCCTTGCTGGTGCAGGAGACACCAATGGGATCCTTGAGCTTGGGGCACTAGGAGACCTCGCCCCGAGGCTAAGAGCCGCGTTCGCCTGCGGGAGAGGGCGAGGGAGGAGCCAGCCCCAAGAAACTTCTCCTCCCTTGGGGAGAGGAGGTGCAGTGTTGAGTGGCGGCGGCTTCGGGAGAACTTGGTGCCTCCGAGCCTTGGGGCGGCGTTCAAGGCCCCCTCCCACACACACGCTGTGCTGAGCTAGCGGCGCCTGACGAGGAGCAAGCTGCGGTCCTTTCCACAAGGGTCGAGCTGCAGGACTGCAAGCAGTCGGGAAGGCCGCGGCCCGGCTCGCAGCCCCTCTACCCTGCCCACGGCCACCCATTTGAGGACGGGAGGGGAAGGCAACGTAAGCGGCCAGGCGGGTTCGCAGGCTGACGCTCCTATCGTCACCTCCAAAGGACCCCCAGAGTCTCTGGGGTCCGTTCCTTCTTCCCGGAGTCGTCCTCCCTTCACTCCCCCTCCCCCAGCGCTGAGCCCCAGGCGGGGACACCCCTCCTCGGAAGTCCCTATACCTCCGTGCACCTGGCTCAACCGGAGTCCCCGGTGTCAGGGCAGGGCAGGGCCGCCGGCAGCGAGCCGGAGCCAGCCCAGCGCCCTGGCCTCGCCAGGTCCTCGGAGCCCACCCATGGGGCTCCAGCTCCGCGCTCCTCGCCCGGCTGTGCTCAGCCCAGCTCGGAGCGCCGTGTGCAGGAGGATCCGTACTCAGTGACCCTGGAGACCCCTCTGACGCTGGGAGACTCGAGGGCCGGAGCGGCAGGCGGTTCTCCGCACCTCCAGGAGCTTTCAGGCAGCCCTCCAAGCCGTGCCCGGGGCCCGGCCCGCTGTTCCCAGGTAAGGGAGGCACCCCATTGGAATGGGGAACTATCTAGGGAGGAGTGGGGTAGCCGGCTGGTCAGAGAAACACAAGCTGAGTGACGCTGGCTTTTCATGACCAGGGAAACTTAAACTGAACCTAACTACGCGTCCGGATGCTTTACCCACGTAGAGAATTAAGCTCATGAGGCACCTACCCTACATCAGGTGGCTTCTAGCCTCTTACATAGCCTAGGGAAGAGGGTTTATTGAGCTCTTGTGTGCTCCATTTGTCTCTGGGAGCTTCCGTTTAGATCAAGAGCCAGTCCATTTTAAAAGGAGGCAACTGAGGCCCAAAGAGGAAGAGGCAGTTACCTTCCCTAGACTTAGCCTCTTCTGCAGGACCTCTTCGGAGGAAGAAAGATCAAGTGGTCCTTTACCTGCCTTGAGTCTATTGAGCTTCAGAGAAAGGTTCCCTGCGTAAGGTCTTCCCGTACTCAGCTGGCCAGTGTGGGATCTCTGACAGGCCTCAGTCTCCTGCCCAGGCCACTACTCTGGGGAGAATGAGGAAGGAACCTGGGAGGGTCTGGAGCCACAGCCTGCTTTGCATCATCTAATTCAGGTTTCCTTTATGCCTCAGAGGGACAAGATAGGGTCCCCACAAGTCATCCACTGTGCTGGGAGCAGCAATGTGGCCACAGCTGTTTGTACAGATTGCCACAAAGGAAAGAGCCCTGTATTGACTGGGAAGGATTCTGGGTACCTGACTGTGCTGGGTTTGTTCTACCTGATGTCTAACAGAGGCGTGAGCTGAGTGAGCAGACTCGGTCACTCAGAGTTGCTGGGCAGGCACACAGCAGAACCCTTGAGGCAGGAGCAGATCCCCCTGCTCTCTGTCTTCCTGAGCTCCCCAGGATGGGAAGGGTGGCATTGTAAAACTCCTGAGACTCCCCAGAGTGTGGGGTAAGAGTCAGGACTACAGTGTGTGCCCTAAGAGGCTGCGTGCAGTTGTGCGAGCTCTGGGGGCATGAGCAGTGGGCTGGTGTGGTGAAGCTGGCTCTGGGGTACACCCAGGGAGCTTATTCAGACTCTTATCCAATTGTCCTTATCCACCTGACCTGCCCAGCTCCCATCAAGCACTGGGGCAGACACTGGGGAAGAAAGAGAATAACCCACAGTTGCAAGGCCTGCGAGCTTGCTGGCAGGGTATTTAGAGACTCCTGGGCAGGGTGTCCACTCATCCCAGCTGCCTGGAGGGAGAACCGAAAAGGGTCTATAACAGGAGTCAAGGGATCATTCCCTGCCCAATGCCACCTGGGGCTTCACTGAGTCAGAGCTGTTTGGAGAAGACTACAGTTTAGGTCCAATAGAGGAGTGAGGGGACTTTTTGTAGAGGTGGGAGACCAGGTTTTACAGCTGAGGAGCCTGCCTGTAATCCTAGTCAGGCATCTGCTGTGTGGACTCAACTTTTCTGAGAACCAGAGTCCGAACCTGTTCCCTGGAAAGCTCCTCAAAAGAATAAGGAGCACCTGTGTGGCAGGTGCCTGCTGGTGGGGAGAATGCCCTTGGGGACAGCCCCACTCCAGCACCCTGCTTCCATTTGGGTCCCTATTCTTTGTTTTGGTTTTTCGAGGCAGGGTTTCTCTGTGTAGCTTTGGAGCCTATCTTGGAACTCACTCAGTAGACCAGGCCTCGAGCTCACAGAAATCCTCCTGCCTCTGCCTCCTGAGTGCTGGGATTAAAGGTGTGTGCCACCACCACCTGGCTTGGGTCCCTATTCTTACATTCAGTTGCCCACTTCTCTAGGCCACCAGGGTTGGATGGTGGGAAGGAGGGCCTGCCCTGCGCTGTCTGTTCTGCACTTTAGGGGCACCTCCCATCATACATGCACTTCTCTGCCCAGTGGCAGCTGCCCACTGGTGAAGTTCTGATCCTAAGGCCCTTATATTCCCCTCTGAATGCATATCTAAAGCAGGCTGTGAGTCTGTGCTTTGGAGTTTCAGCTCTGTGGTATGTACACAGAAGGTGCTCAATAAATGACCACTGAATGAGAGAAATTGCAGATGACTCTACTGTCAGGCTCACCCAACCCTCTCACTCCTGTCCCCATAGCTGTACTCTGGCTATGAGACCTCCTCCCTTCACCCAGTGGATTTGCCTGGCCCTGGCTGTGCTGAGAAGGATCCCAAACCGCAGTCCTGCTGAAGGTTTCCAAGTGTGGGGTTTGTTCCCCAGAGTCACCCACTCAGTCTTTCTGCAGGGGGGAGGGTTGCTGATGGGGTCCCCTTCTCTAGATGGAGGACAGGGAGTGAACCAGCAGTCTCCAGAGATGCAATCTGTCTCCATTACCTCCTTGCTCTATTCCAGATCTCTGAACACACAAGGACTGAAAGGAGGGGTCAGAGAGGGCGGTAAACAATCAGAAAGGAAGGAGTGAGAGAGAAGGCATGAAGGCAGTGAAAGCATCAGGGAGAGGGCGGGGCAGGGGGTTAGAAATCAGAGACAAGATCAGAAAGGGGTGGAGAGAGGAGGACCCAAGGTTATCTGTGACAGAACCAGGCTTTTCACATGGCCTCAGCCACGTGGGGCTGTGTGAGGCACCCAGATACCTGGATGCCAGGTGACAGGGCCTCTGACTCTGCTCCACAGGAGGTGCTAAGGGAAGCCCTAAGGCCCTGTGGGCAGAGGCTCTCCTGCTGCCTGCTGGTCTCGCTGTTTCCAGCTTGGTTGACCCCATAGTGGGAATGGACAGATCTCAAACCCCAGAGTACGGCTGGGAACAGGAGTGAGAGGGTTGGGTGAGCCTGACAGTAGAGTCATCTGCAATTTCTCTCATTCAGCAGTCATTTATTGAGCACCTTCTGTGTACATACCACAGAGCTGAAACTCCAAAGCACAGACTCACAGCCTGCTTTAGATATGCATTCAGAGGGGAATATAAGGGCCTTAGGATCAGAACTTCACCAGTGGGCAGCTGCCACTGGGCAGAGAAGTGCATGTATGATGGGAGGTGCCCCTAAAGTGCAGAACAGACAGCGCAGGGCAGGCCCTCCTTCCCAGCACCTCTCTGTGCCTTGGTGTCTTCATCATCTACTGTCTGGGTCATTGAAGAATGGAGCAGGTGTATATCTGGCACTCACAGCACTGTGACATATATTAACTGCAAAACAAATGTCAGCGGTGTTATTATTCTATACTTAGCCTCTGCTTGGCACATGCCTGGGCTTGGCCCAGGAGTGATGGCTCCGGTGCTAGGCCTGGGCCCACAGTGTGCTGAGCTGACCCGCTGTGTATGTCTCTGCCATTCATTCTTGGAGGTCATGTTGCATGCTGGGAGCTGGGAGCATTTACACCATGGAAATCGATAAAGGATACCAAGAAAGCCTTTTGTGTTTTGTTTTGTATTAGGAGAGGGGGTTTCTTCTTGTAGCTCTAGTTGTCTTGGAACTAGCTCTGTAGACAAGACCAGGCTGGCCTGGAACTCACAGAGGTCCATCTCCAATAAGGACTTTTAGGAAAGTTGGAGGACTTCAGGCAGGCAGGCATGAGCAGAGTGGGTGCATACCTGGAGACTTATACCGAGAAGGATGTCACTCAGTCCTGGTGGCTATCACAGACCATTGCCCTATGATAGTCTCTGATCATGACAAAAAAATGGCTGAGGTATTCACATGAGGCTGTGGCCCTGAGTCTGTGTGCGCAGCAGAGCACACAGATACATTTGTAGAAGACACCCCTTGTGTGGGGATGCAGCCCCACTTGCCTACTCAGAGTGTGTTTTGTGCAGTGCTTAGTCAGGAGCACAGCCTGTATCTGTGCAGTCCTGAGGTTAGCAAGCTGTTCTTTGTATGTGCGGAGGTGATCCTTGCTGAGAGGAGAGGGTCAACAGCCTGTAGAGAGGTGGCATTTGGGATGGACTCTGCAACTAGAGGAGATGATGTGGCCCTGGGGGAGCCTAGGGTCTGAGACAACAGGTAGAGGGGCTGAGAACAGCCACAGGTAACCACAGGAGTCTGCATAGGCCCACTGGGATCAAGAACCTGAGTCAGTGTCTCTGTCTCTGTCTCTCTCTCTCTCTCTCTCTCTCTCTCTCTCTCTCTCTCTCTCTTTCTTTCACCTTTTCCATGAGGCTAAGGAGTTCCCATAGAAAGTTATGGGTTTCCCTCCAGAACCTTGGTCCTTAGAATCCTGAGGCTTGAGTTCCCTTCCCCCCTCACTCTTGCTTAGAGCAAAAGTTACTGAAGCCAGCTGAGAACCTTAAGTGAGAAGGAGCCCACCTTGATGCAAATTTTGGGTTCAGGGTGTATCCAGGGAGGTGACTGGGGGCTGGGCAGAGAAGTGGCTTGGATGCTGAACTTCCCTCCTTCCTATTAGAGCTGCGGAGCCATAGGACACCTTTGTTTAAGAAATGTAGACTGACAACTGAGCCAGACCCCCATCCAGGCAGTTGTGGAGTAAGGAGTGGGCGCTGTAAGAGAAGCCTGCCCCCTAGTGGTAATTGCTACTTTGGGACTTTCAGCTGTGTGGGGGGAGAGGCTCAGAGGTGATGATGCTTCCTGCCCAGTGGGCAGCAAGGCTGTGACCCTGCACTTGGTTCTGTGCTCAAGCGTGTGAGGATGAGTAAGTGAACAAGTTGAGAAGAAGAATAAGAAGTTGAGAGGTTGTGGGTGAGTGAATGAATGAGGGAGTGACTCCAGCCCTGAAGTCCCTCAAGAACCTTGGCCAATGGTTTCTATTTTACTCTAGAAAGCAGAGACCTAGACAGGCACCACAGAGGGGAGGCCAAGAGGCCCCTTAACCTATGCCTTCTTGCTTCTGTCACAGCCCCGAGCCATGATGAAGACCTTGTCCAGTGGGAACTGCACACTTAGTGTGCCTGCCAAGAACTCCTACCGAATGGTGGTGCTGGGCGCCTCCCGTGTGGGCAAGAGCTCTATCGTTTCCCGCTTCCTCAATGGCCGTTTTGAGGACCAGTACACACCCACCATCGAGGACTTTCATCGAAAGGTGTATAATATCCACGGGGACATGTACCAGCTGGACATCCTGGACACCTCTGGCAACCACCCGTTCCCTGCCATGCGCAGGTTGTCCATTCTCACAGGTGAGGTGAATGAGGGGACAGGACAGCTGGCCCGTTGTTCTTCTGTTTAGGGAAATTGCTTCTTGCCAGACAAGTGGTGGTACAGCTCATGGCACTATCTGCCCTTTTGCTGTCCCACCACTTCTAGATTAGGGCCCTTAGTGATTGAAACTCTGTAACAGCCATGGGCCTGGCTCTTGCTTAGAGACTGGCATGTGTTTGACTTTTACAGCTAGCCTATGAGACAAATGTTTGCTGTCATTTTGCAAGGGGAAAACTGAGGCAGAGGTTAAATGCCTTCATCCAAATGGAAGCAGAGCTCATGAGTGCTGTTGAGGGACCTTTCCTGTGGCCTGTCTTTCCCACCTGGAGCAGCATCTGGAGAAGGACAGGATTGTGGGCCATCAGAAGCCTTCTGGTGATAGGGCACTGACCGTTGTGATTATTCCTTGAAGCTAGTCTTGAGTTGATCTATGTCTCTAGTGTGACCACTGTGGACTAGAGCCATGCCTTCAGCTACTGGACAGAGACAGAAGGAGCATCATGAAAACAATCCTCAAGGATTGGGGTGATAACTCAGGAAAGTTGCTGTTTAATAAGGACCAGCATTTGATCCCCAGCACTCACACCCATATGGGTGGTGAGCATCTGCTGTCTCAGCACTGGGGAGGCAGAGACCGAGGGGTCCCTGGGGCTTTCTGGCCAGCCAGCTTACCATATTCAGCAACTTCTAAATAGTGAGACTCTTACAAAACAAGGTGGGTGATGCCATAGGAACAACAAGCAATGCTGGTCAACACATCACACACAGACACAAATACAAGATGACAATTTATAGAATAAGACATTCCCACTGAGAGCCACACATACTACCCTACTTTCTTCCCATTCACAGTCTATTTTAGAGTCCTGTGGCAGGCTCCCTTCTGGCCATGGAGCTCCCTCTTCCAGGTCACTTTTCTGTCCCAGACTGCTCGTGGGGCCCTCCACCCCAGATTCTGAGAGGGAGCATCTGTCTTGCTTAAGAAACCCAAGGTGGACCTGGGTTCAAATCCTGAGCTTGCCATGTAGCATGGTGGTGTCATTATCAGTGTCTTTGTGTCCTTGGTCCTCATGTGGCTATGGGAACAGGAGGGTGTAGGACAGCTCCCTGCAAAAGGTGACTGTCTTATGGGAGAGTTCTTCCTATTTGGGAGGGGACTGGATACCCACTGGTAGAAATGTGCATACTTCAATGTTAATTTTCAACTACACAAGAGATACAAAGACAAACTTTCCATCAGACTGTGCTCATTAGGCACACATCTCCCATCCCAGGCCTCTGACTTACAGGCGTCCACCTAATTCCTGGCCAGCACCAGTGCATTGACATTCATCCTGTACTCTCTGAAAGCACACACTTTGGTTTGTTTCCTGTGTATTGCATTACAAGCACATCTGTCTGTTGCTTTGCTTGCTCACAGCCCAGGCCAGGCCTCCTTTTCCAGCCTGGTTCTGGGTACAAGAGAAGCTCAGGGCTGCTCATTCCCACCAGCTTTTCTTGCAGCTGCTGGCCAGCTGGGCTGGACTTTGATGCCTGGCATTTGCAGTCTCATATTTGAACACTTTGAGGCTATGAGTCCTCAGGAGCAAGGATTAGTCTAATGGGACAGCATGCGACTTGGCAGCAGAGCCAGGGCAGTTGGCAGTTGAGTCCCCATTTACCATCCCAGCCTTTTCTGGCCTCCCTGGAGACCAGCATGTGTAAGTTCAGGGCCAGGTGGATGGGTTAGAGTGAGGTGCTGTGCTTCTGTGCCCTACCCATAGCTCATGCTGGGTATGTCACTGTAGGGAACCAAACATGCTTTAGAGGCCAGAGAGGAGGCAAGGGTCACAAGTTGTGCTGTTCTATCGGACCCAGTGGCTGGCCCACTATCGCAAATCTGGGACCTCAGCTTTTACAGCCACTTTGGGCTGTAAAAGCTGAGGGGAAAGTTAAAGATGGGAAAGGTTTTGGAGTGATTGGCTTTGGAACTGCAGCTGGAGGCTGGTTCACACACCTGTGACCCTTCCAGGGTGTGCTCTAATCACTGTGTCAGATTCAAGACCCCATTAGTGTGGGCCTTGATCTCTTACTTACTGCATGGTTCATCCTAGAATCAGAGAGCACATCCTGAGTGCCTGGCATAGTCCAGGTGAGGATCAAATCAGGTTACAGATTTGGTGTCACCTTGGGCAGGTTGTTTGCCTTTTCCAAGCCTTAGGTGTCTCACCCATAATAGAAGAGTAATAAAATCTTCCCCATGGAGGTATTATGAGGCACCAAGGAAACAGCAGGTGTGCACAATGCTCAGCTCCCGGCAGGTGCCTTTTCTCATAAGCATTATTGATGCCTGACATGGCTGAAAGTGTGCCACCCTGCATGCATTAGCTCCAGTCACCCTCCTGCAAGGCAGCATCATTCACATCATGTGGGAGGGGAAATTGAGGAGTTCAGAGATTATACAGACGCTTCAAGGTCACACAGTTGCTAACTTGAGGTAAGATGCAAACCGAGGCGCCATCTTCTGCCACACGCCACACAGACACCAGTGTTTACCAGATTTCCTATTGTGGGCAAGGTACTGGTGCTGGCTGTGGGTATGGCTGAGTAAGGCCTCTGTGTCCACAGGCCGTCTTCAAGGGTTATTGTGTAACTCCACAGGGATGACTGGGCCCTCCACAGTCCTGTAAGAAAACAGGAGGACTGACCACATCTGAGACCAGCTAGCTATGCTACAAACCCTTTTGAGCCTTGGCTCCTTTCTCTGGCAAGTGGGGACGGTGATAGCAGATGCCCTCTTTGAAGAGTTTGCAGTGTTCTTAAATGGCAGCTGATGGGACCCATGCTGGGTGGGGTATCAGGCCATCCTGTCACTTGATCACTTGCCTCGTTCCATCCACAGGAGATGTCTTCATCCTGGTGTTCAGCCTGGACAGCCGGGAGTCCTTCGATGAAGTCAAGCGCCTCCAGAAGCAGATCCTGGAGGTCAAGTCCTGCTTGAAGAATAAGACCAAGGAGGCAGCAGAGCTGCCCATGGTGATCTGTGGGAACAAGAATGACCACAGCGAGCTATGCCGCCAGGTTACTGCCATGGAGGCAGAGCTGCTGGTGTCTGGGGATGAAAACTGCGCCTACTTTGAGGTGTCGGCTAAGAAGAACACGAATGTGAACGAGATGTTCTATGTGCTGTTCAGCATGGCCAAGCTGCCCCATGAGATGAGCCCTGCGCTGCACCATAAGATCTCTGTGCAGTATGGTGATGCCTTCCATCCCCGGCCCTTCTGCATGCGCCGCACCAAGGTTGCAGGTGCCTATGGCATGGTCTCACCCTTTGCCCGTCGCCCCAGTGTCAACAGTGACCTCAAGTACATCAAGGCCAAGGTCCTACGGGAGGGCCAGACACGAGAGAGGGACAAATGCAGCATCCAGTGAGAGGCAGGGACATTGGGAGGGGGCTTGGGCAGTGCCTTAAGGGAGGTGGCTAAGGATTCCCACTGCCCACATCCCATGGGGCCTCTAGGCATGTATGTTGTGTCTGTTCTTCTGATTCCTAGCCACCTCCTGTGAGTTCTTATGCCTGTGGCTCTTTTGTGGTAGGACAGATATATTTGGGGACATGTCAGCACTCAAGCTGAGACAAGCTTCCAGTATCCTTAGAGTGGGAGGAATGCAGAAAGATCAGGAGTCCTGCATCAAAACAAGATGCTCAATACAAGTCAGACGATGAGAACATCCTAGCCAGATGTTCCAGCCAGATTCCCTGGTGGCCTCAGCTTCCTCTGTGTGGATCAGCCTAGCCTCTGGCCCAGATGTGAACACTCACCCCTCCAACTTAGCCAGTTGCCACCCCAGCATTGAACAGAGAGAGAGAGAGAGAGAGAGAGAGAGAGAGAGAGAGAGAGAGAGAGAGAGAGAGAGAGAGAGAGAGAGAGAGAGAGATTTTGTTGTGTCTGTGTGTGATGACATCTCTATGTCTCTGAGACCACTGCTTCCTGGCTCCTCTCCCAGGCTCCTGCATATGACATTGTTCTTTGTTTTGAAGTTGTTTCCTGTTCTGTCTGCAGTATACATGAAGTCCTTGTATGGTAAAAGCCTAATGACCTGTCTTTGGCCAGCCTCCCCAGTTCAGATCCATTGCTTTAGCTGGGTCCCTTCCCTGCTCCCAGGCAGGCTGTGCTGCTGGATCCAGCCCTGTGTTCAGCAGCTTACAAATGAGCCCACAGCACCATAGTCACTGAAGGCCAGGTGTCTCTCTTGCCCTCAAGGGTGACTGGGCCTCAGGGAGAGTGACTCTAAACCCGTCCACACTCCTAGCAAGATGAGGATAGAGCTGTGACTGGAGGCAGCTTTCTTCTGCTGTAATGCCTCAAGCACAGAACCCACTGGGTACTGGGTTCTGTGTGCTAGGCAACAGGGAGGAAGGGGTCCTATATGTTCCCCACTCTGGCCTCTGCCCCCATGGGCCCCTTCTGCACACAGAGCTGCTGGAGCAAGCAGAGCAGCTGAGAGCCTGAGCTAAACCCTGGATAGGTTGGTAGGATGAGTCATGGTCTTTCCCTAGTGCTCAGGCTGTGCTAGGTACTTACCTCCCTGACACAGGAACAGGGTGAGGGATGATTGATTCTGAAAACCGAAGACCCTGTTCAACTCTTAGTCCATGTGTGCTTCCTTCCCCTTAGTAACACCGAAACTGGCCATTGAGGTGGCTCAGTGGGTAAAGGCACCTGCTGCCAAGCTGTTCATCCTGAGTCTGATTACTGGGATCCACATGGTGTGGGGAGACAACTGACTTCTGTAAGTTATCCTTTGACTTCCACAGATGCATCATGGTACCTGCATACACACAAAGTAATGAGGCCGATGGTTACTGAAAACCATAGGAATCTACTAGTTTATTCCCTCAGGACTCAAAGTGTGAGGGACTGTCCCCAGGTCACATACTACAAGCTGCACCAGTCATACATAGGCCTTACACATACACACACACACACACTGCTGTGCTCTCTTTCTGGAGCTCACAGTGGCAGGAATTTGGACCACATTACACACCACACCCCTCCGGCGGTGATCACAGGTTACCCATGGATGCTGTGTACATTGTCATCCATAATGTACCTCAGTTACAGCTCTGCACAGCAAACCCCAGGCCTAGCCCTGACTGTCCCCTGCTCAGCACCTGCTGCTCAGCACAACTGTCTCAGCACCTGCTTCTGTCCTGTAGTAAACACCTGGCCCTCCAGCCCCAACCTTGAGAGTATAACAGGTACTTGTCCAGGCAGGTGTATGGCCTGGTCCCATCCGATCAAGCTGCACTGCCTGGACCTCTGTGTACACTATCAATTAAAGTTGGTTTGTTAGCAGCTGTGCCCTTGATGTTTGTTTTCTTTGTTTCCATGGGAGGGGCTTTCCCCCTGGCCAAGGTCTCCCTGCATATCACACAGTCTCCAAGTTCAAATTTGGGAGGATGAAACCCAACTAAAGAGATTGGGTCTGGGCCTGATATGGTGTGTGCTCTGAGTGGTCAATAGCAGTGATGTTTCCAGGGTCTAGTAACCAGTGTCTGCAAAGATTGTTGATTATCAAGACTGGATGTGGAACCAGGTATTGTGGCATATACTTGAGAGACTGTGGCAAGATGATTGCTAAAGTGACCAGTCTAGCAATGTGAGTCTGATGTCTCTAATGAAAATGATAGGATTGCTCTAGATCTCTACAGGGAGGGGGCAGAGATGTTGTTCATCACCTTCCAAAACACATGACACACACTCCATAGGGATGGTGGGCAGCGTCACCCAGAAGGCTGGTTTGGGGGAGGGCTAGCACAGGAGGGTACTCTCAGGTTTGGGGCTGGTGGGGACCAGATACTTACTGCAGGACAGAATTGGTTGGGTATGTGACTTTCTGAATGGCAAGAACAGTATTTCTGTGAAATAAGGGATGGGATGTATTTGGGGACAGCGCCTGGAGGCACAGATGCCTGAATGACCTCATGAGTGGTGATTCATGTGGCTGAGTGCCCCTCTCTGGGAAGGGCAGGGATGTGGCTGCTGCTAACCCACCTCAAACACATTCTTGGCCATTTCCACAGGACACCTTGTGGCACATATGTCCTGTAACAAGTTGAGGCATAGAACTCAGGTGCTTGCCCAATAGTCATGTGAATGAAGGTCCTGGACCATGGGTACCTGACCCCTGCATGGTGAAGACAGGATTTTCAGCTTGGCAAGTGGCTGTGAGCATAGCAGGGTTCCAGAGCCTATAGATGGAGGTCAGAGAATAGGACAAGGACCCTGCCCATGTGGCCTGGAACCTAGTGAGGAGCCACAATTCCTAAAGTAGGCTAGGCTATATTGGGGTGTGGGGAGAGCGCCTTGCCTACCTGTTCATCTAGCTCCTCTAGCCCTTGGGCACACTTACATGGGACTGAGTGTGGTACAAGCCCCTTGGGCCCTTTCCCCATCATGTCTTTTGTAGAATGAGACATGGAAGTGACCACTCTCTGGTGTTATAGTCACTGTCTTGATATTCAATAGGGAGAGATAGGGAGAGCTAGATAAGAGGTGCTGCACCTGGAGTGTCCTGCTCAGTGTCACCATTGCATACCAACCCCCCACCGCATAGGACTTCGGAGTAATCCCATCTCAACAAACACCATCTACAAACAGGTGGTGGATAGGGACCAGCTGGGTTAGATGTGCACAGAACAGCCCTCCCAGCCCTTACTCTGCAAGTATTCCCATTGCATAACCCAGAACCTGCTAGCTCCATGCCCGCTTCTCTCCTTCCCTCTCCCCGATCCATGCTCCCTCCTCTCTCTCTCTGCTCTTTCCTGCTCCCACATTTTGGCACTAGAATGAGGTTAATAGCGAGGAAGACATTTTCAACCTAGGACAGGGTAGAATGGGCTGTTAAGAGGCTGCCCCTTCTGGAGAGACTGAAACTGGACAGAGAACCTCATGCCAATTAAAACTCCTGGCCCCTAAAATGAGCCCTAAGAATCAGGTTTCAGAGAAGCCTGCACTCTGAACAGCCAGTACTTGTCTGTTCTGCCTCCTTGAACCTGTCACTCGGGAGAAAATCTTCAGCCTACATCATGGCTTGGTGGGGGTTAAAGGGAGCCTGCCAGCAGCTCAGCAACAAAGGCTGCTGGGAATTGGGAGGCGAAGGGATCTGACCTTCACTGAAGACCTCCTATTCACTAAGCACATGCTGGCCTCTGACCTGTGCTCTCTCATTGGATCATAGAAGGACTGATAACCCTTTTGGATAGTTGAACAGATGAAGAGAGGTAGAGTGCTTGCTTGATGTCACACAGCAAATAACCAGGAAAACTGGGTTCATATCATCTGATTTCAAAGTATTTTGTTCTTCAGTACTTTTGGAACCTGGTGACTGAGAGTCTGCTCTCTGGAGAAGGGTGGGCAGGTGGCAGCAGAGAGGTGATCCACCTGGCCAAGCAGTGCCCAGGCATCTTACATTTCTAGCCTCCTCCATGTCCAAGACCTTGTCACCATTTGTGAGACAGAAACCACATCCAGGTTCCACTGTAGCATCAGGGAAGAGAACACACGAGTCACATGCCTGTATATCACATATGGACTCATATATCACTGCAAGCCCCTGGTCAGGAAGGTCTTTGTCAAAAGCTCCAAATTCTGGTAACATTTATTGTGGAGGAGGAAAGAGCCCTAGATGGCCTACCTGTATTGCCCAATGCCATAGACCAGACCCAGGACACTACACAGCCTGAATTCCAACAAGGTCTCAGCTTCACAGTCACACAGTAGACAATATTCTCTGTGGCTTAGAAAACTTTACTTCTAGCATATATGTGGTAGCATGTGGCACAGCCCATATGTGGGGGGTCAGAGGACAAAACAACTTGATGGAATTGGTTCTTTCCTTCTATCTTTGTGTGGGTTCTGGAGATTGAAGGTAGGCCATAAGTTAAGTATGGCAAGCACCTTTACCTGCTGAGCCATCTTGATGGCTTCCTTTTATTATGGTTGTAAATGTGTATGTACCTGTGTGTGTGGAGGCCAGAACAACATAGGGTGTCAGGCACTGTCTTAGTTTGTGTTTCTATTGCTGTGAAGAGACACCAAGACCATGGTAACTCTTATAAAGGGAACATTTAATTGGGGTGGCTCACTTACAGGTCAGAGGTTCAGTCCATCATGTTGGGGAGCATGGGAGCATACAGGTATGGTACTGGAGCTGAGAGTTCTTAATCTGACTCAGAAGCAACAGGAAGTTGACTGACTGAGTAAAGCTTGAGAAAAAGACCTCAAAGCTGGCCCCCACAGTGACACATTTACAAGAGAAGGTGTGGCCCAGATTAAAGATGTATCCTCCAGTCTCAAGGTCAGGATTAAGAGCATGGCTCATCCAGCCTCCTCCAACAAGACCATACTTTCTCAAACAAGGCATCACCTCCTAGTAGTGCCACTCCCTATGAGCTTATGGGGCCAATTACAGTCAAACCACCTCAGGCATCATCCTCCTTAGTTTTAAGGCAAAGTCTGTCATTGGCCTAGAGATCTCCACGTGATCTGGGGCCAGGCTGGCTGGCCAGTGCGTCCCAGGGA